ACTCCTTGTACAGCAGAATGTTCCCTTTAACTTAAGACAAACATTAGCAAAACAATGGATAACCCCTCAGCTGTGGGTTATTCTGAGAGCAAAACTGAGTTAAGCAACCCATCGCTTAAAGCATAAAGAAAACAAAATAATCAGAAATGGCATGATCAAGATCTCCATGACAGAAACAACATTACTGAAATGCCCTACAGTTAAAGCCTTGCAACGGCAAGGAGATGGATTTAAGTCATTAGCTGCTAGCATCTGATCTTTCCAAGAACATTTAACTCTTCTACTGCAAGGAAATTCCTCAAGCAGATACCAAAAATACCACAGTAAGGACCAGATTTAGTCTTCTCATTACAGCCAAATGTTGGCTTCCAGTAGAAAAAGCTGTCCTCTTCTGTTATAACTTTGCCTTTTCATTGGCTTATGAACAATGGAAAATGGATTTACAGTCTTTCTGAATCTGAGAACTTATTTCTAGAAAGGTTGTTGTAAATGAGGGGAGCCTGTCTGTTAAAATAGCATCTACAACCCAAATCCACTCTAGAGAGAGACACTGTCCAGACTGAAGTCAATATGTTCTTAAATTAGTTTAATAAGTTTACCTTTATTTTTTGAATAAGTTACCAGCAAACAAAATACAGCAAGAAAATGTTTACTTCATAAAGCCTCCAAGAAATCAATGTTTTCAATTTTTAATCTAATGCTCTTACAGACAGAATGTCCATTACCCAAAGCAGGAGTTTCACAGCACTTTTTTTTCTTGGACATATACGAGTTGAGGAAAACAATGTTCTCCAATTCCAGTAAAGCAAATGTATCTAAGCCTTATTTCTCATTATCCGACACTTGGAATTAAGCAACACCACTGTACTGTACTGTGGTTTCAACAAACACTGAATATGCTAGACACCTTCTATTAGAAAATATTGTATGTAAAATTAACATTAAAGTAACAAAACTCAGGAGACTGCCATCAGGATTCAGCCACTTATCTCAGGCAGCTCACTCTTCCTGTGTTCCTGCCCTCCCCAGGACGGCAGTAAACACCAGGCATCCTCAGACAATCCAGCATACAAGATTCAAACCTCTTTAACAGTGCTGCTCTTCCTCTCATCACTGACAATACAGGAAGACTAAGTTAGGTGGCACAAATGTGAAACTTAAACAGATCTGAGATGTAGATATCTCCCTTTAAATCTTACTTGTTAGATTACATAAAGAAGCAATCAAACCCATACTTTCAGTAGTTGTGCTGTTTCAGTTCTCCCTATTTCATTTTGGCTTAGCTGTGGAATCAGAGAAACACTTGAAAAATATGAATCTAAATGTTCTTAGTTCATGAAACTCTTTTTTAACCAAGAACAGCATTGCTTCCCCAAAACCAGAAGACCAGATTATTTTTATAAAGTTACTATAAGCAACAAAATTTAATGTTCCAACTCAAAATCTACTGACTTGCTTTAACAGCTGAGATAAAGACACTGTCTGTACCTAAATCCATAAACAGACAGTGGGGAAAATGTTGTAAGAACAAGCATGTTTTTAATTCATATAGGCAAACACAACTGGCTGGGAAAGTCAATCAGGTTTAAAATCTGGCTCTGTGGGAACACAATATTTGTGTCCAATGTACAGCACACATCCATACAATGTGTAAAGACAGATGTCATAAGTAACACATAACTGGGATGTTTTAATTCTTACTATTTCTTAAATTCCTTTTAAAACAGTGTTCAAATCGGTGAGAATATCTATTTCCGGATGTTACCCTCAAACGTGTTAGCTGGGAACCTGTTCTAAATTAAGACGAAAAGATGCTGCATTAGAAAGTATTGTAACTAGATTACCTAAAGTCAACTGTTCTCAGTGATTTATTTACAGACTAGTATGTTTTCCATCACATATAAACCCTTCAAACTTCACATAGACTACAGTAAAGAGCAGGATTAAAACTGCCCTGAGGTGCCCTCTTATATGAAAGTTCTCCCACAGCTTGGCAGAGGAAATACGGTTGCATAGGGAGAGCAACCATAGGTCTTCCTTCTATTACTGCAAACTTTTGCTTGTTTTTAAGTGAACAAATATTTTCTTCAACATGCAGAGAAGAAGTAGGTGAAGACAAAAAAAAAAAAAGGCAAAAAAAACACCTGAAGCAATTTAAACACACGTAGCAAGAACAGGCTTACATTATTCATCATTCATCCCACCTACAGACATGATCTCATATTAAAAACACAATACAGGAGGGACACCTAATACTTCAAAGAATAAAATCTATTTTCCATCACTTTTCAATAGCCATAAGAACTTGAGGTTTCACATTTCCTTCCCGCTGATACCTACTTTCAAATGCACTAAAGTGAAACAAGATTTGCCCTTCCTTGTGGTTCCTCCAAAACAGGACTTTTGGATTTGAAAAACACAAATTATTTGCCTTATAGAAGCAGACTCATTACATCACCTTGCAACTGGTACCGATACAGAAATATTCTTTGCAGTATCAATCCCAAACTTTAATTGCTAAAGACATTAGCAAAGTCTACTGGAAATGAGACTGTCAGTTTTCAAACAAGGCACATTTCAAGGCCTTTTCTGTGTGCATAGGAGCAGCTTACACAGTGCGTTTTCCGCACAAAGGAGAAATAAAATCAACAGACAGAATTTCTGAAACCTAGCAATGAGTAGGATCTAAGACACTTCTCTGAAGAGGACTATCCAGAAAAGTTATGAGTATTTTGAATCCCCATGAAAAGGTTAGCGTGTCATTGCATTGAAATGTTCACAAAGACGTAGTTTGAATTGTCAAACAGTACAATAGCACAGAAAGGAATGAAAATTTTGTCAAAAAAGATAATGAGTATCTGAGAGAAGATTATGCTGCCGAGTATAGTGAAAACAACCAGATCCAGCACCAGTTTCTTTACCGCTGGGTTTCCAACTGATACCACTACATAGCTGCAAGGAGAGCTCTATGAATATTTCAAGAGAAAAGGGCAAAGAGTTGACAGAAGTCCATCTAAGCTGCTCTATAATTTCCACGGTGAAAGACAAGTCTTTTCAAAGTACTGAAAGTTTCAGAATATTATTTTATGTAATTAGGTGTTAAAATGCTTGCATTAACTTAGTAAGTTACTACAGAAATTTTTAAGTATAAATGTAAGATCCCACGCTGCCTTCATCAACAGAAATATGTAACACAAATATGTTTCACTGTGTATAACTGAATTTTATAGGCTAGTAAATCCTTTGCTAAACAAAACCATGATCTGAATAAAAATTTTAAGAAAAATATCATTGGACAGCATGAACTGATCTACTGAGGCCGAGATCCTTCAACTGCTTATTTATAAACAAATTAAGGAAGTAAAAAGGTCATACTTTCACATGACCTTAGAAGGTCACACGACATGTACTTTTATGCAAACATCAGATGGAATGGAAACACCATAGCCGCATTAGCTTTTCTCAAGTCTCTTTACTATACAGTTAATTTGGTTTTTTTAAGTTTAAATTATCCCATCCTCAAATTTATGCTATTTATTTTCACTGATATGAAAGGAATGTTTCAAAAAAACCCCAAACAAACAAATCCTCAGTAGCTACAGGTACTTAACCTCTTCGCCCAGCTCTCCCAATTAATGTTATATTCCTCCAGCTACAGCTCGAACTTCAGGAAGAGGAACCGCTGCCTACGCATTAGCTGTATGAGCATGCATACAAACTTTTGTGTGTGCTGACAATACAACCTGAAGTTTTTATGCTTAAAGTAGGCTAATTGGTTTTCCAAGTCTAGTTCATATGTCCAGAGAATAAAACAAAGAGGAAATACTTTTAATTTTGTTCAACCTCCAAGGACCAGCCCAGTTAAAAACTAGCATCCATCAAACTCACTTTACCATGGATTCAACAACTGAAGAAATCAGTTCTAATGAACCACATCACACTGTAAACCATGCATGAAAACAAAACTTATACAACCAATGCACTACAGCTCTTGCCAATGATGCTTCTTCTACTCCATTTATGAACAGATGTTTGCTTTAAAAGGAGTGTCAAACTTCTGAAGGTTTCAATTTCTGTGCTGAAGCTGGAAGGAAGGGGCTGTCACCATCAAGAAGCCAGTTTACTGAGCTCTGAAGGAATCCCAAGGCTTAACCCTTAAACCCTTGGTTCAAGCAATTATCTTCTCTAAGGAAAAAGAATATTTTGGTTCATCAGGCAGCCACTTAAATAGCAAACCGAAGGGTTAGGACCTAATAGGCATTTCAGCAATTTTGCCCCATTTTAGAACGGCGTTACTTCTAAAAAAAATAAAATCAAACCATAACTCTGCTTCAGCATGTCATCTTCAGTTGCATTTAGCAACAGCCACACTTTACACCCCTTAAAAATAGAAAGCTTATGAGGAAAAACCAAACACACAGGTCAGCTTAGCTTCTTGTACCACACCACCGAGCCCTCTCTTCCAGCTGCCGCCCCGCTGAACCCCACAAAAACGCGGGGCACTCGCCCCAGGGCGACCGCCACCCCGCCCGCAGCCAGGAGCGGCATAACGCCGCTCGACCCCCGGGGCCCGCCGCCGAAGGACAAAGCCGCCCGGCTCCCAGGCCGGCCCTGCCGCGGCCCGTCCCCTCGCTCCAGCCGCGGCGGGACGAGCCGAGGAAGAGGCGCCTCAGCGAGGGGGAGCGCTGCGGGGCTTCACTCGCCTTGCCCAACTCTCCCGCCTGGCAGGGCGGCCCGGCCCCCGCCGCCCTCCCCCGACGATGGAGGGGGGGGGGGGGCGGGGGGGGAGGGCGGGGGAAACGAGGGCCCGGAAAGGCC